AGACGCGATCTCTTTTTTTTTTGCGTTATTGACCTCACACTAGACACGAATTGGAGTATAACGACACAATAAGCAAGTGAACCACAGAAGGAAAGGAGGGAACGAGACGCCACGCAAAGGAAAGACACGAGGAATGCGCCACACTCCGTACGTCCTGTTGCTGCTGCTGCTCTGCTGCTGCACCGCTTCTTTTGCAGCCGCTGAGCATCGCTGCATATTTGACCGCATTTCTCGCAAAGCTGGCCCCCCGATGAGGGCAGTTGTGCGTGAATTGCCGGACCGGGAGCGTGACGGGACGCAGGTGTCGACTGCCTTTGTGTCTGACTGGGCGCCCCTCCGTTTTAAGGTCTTCTCGGAGGACATGAACAATGCTTTAAAGTACTGCACCGCTGCGGGAGAGTTCCGCTCGGACATGAGACTAGGACTCCTTTTGTGCCGCCAGCAGGATGTTCTTACGGCCGAAAAAAGGCACATCATCTTGGATCGGATGCTCCCCAACGCCATCAAGCTGCACATGGATCGTCTCCACGTTCAACCGGAGAGGTTCCCAGTGATTGTTCCGTTTTTTCCGGCTGGAGACACATGCCGCAATTTTGAAATACCCAGATCCCACCACACGACGGGTGTGCCCGGCGCGGACATGGTTTTGTACGCCGCTGCTGCCCCGACTGAAGGTTATACTTATGCGTGGGCACTGAGGTGCGTTGAGTTGCACAATGGACGTCCTGTGGTCGGGGTGATAAATATTGGCCCGGATTCAGCCACCTATTCGGAGTTCAGTGTTCGTATCGCGGCGCATGAGATTGCGCATGCACTTGGGTTTAATTTGGAAGTTTTTGAGGTCAGGGATATGACACAGTTGATACCCGAGGTTCGTGGAAAGGAGAATGTGCTCGTTGTGTCTTCACCCAAGACGCTGGAAAAGACTCGTGCGCACTTCAACTGCGCAAGTGCCCCTGGAATGGAGCTGGAGGATGAGGGTGGGGGTGCAACGCCATCATCGCATTGGAAGAGACGCAACGCAAAAGATGAGCTGATGGCTGGATTTCCCGGTGCCGGCTACTACACGGCGCTGACGATGGCTGCTTTTGAGGACATGGGCTTTTACAGGGCGCAGTGGAGCATGGCGGAACAGATGCCATGGGGCAGCAACTCCGGCTGCGAACTGCTGACGGAGAAGTGCCTGACTGATGGCGTCACCCGGTACCCGGAAATGTTTTGCGGAGCCAAAAGAGAACTTATGAAATGCACATCGGATCGTTTGGCACTGGGGATCTGTAAGATTACTACCTACCCAAACCCCCTTCCCTCACAGTTTCAGTACTTCAG